GTGTGTGTCTGTGTGTGTGTCTGTGTGTGTGTCTGTGTCTGTGTCTGTGTGTCTGTGTGTCTGTCTGTGTGTGTCTGTGTGTGTGTGTGTGTACGGGCGTGTGGCCGCCCGCCAGCCATCCCGGGCTGAGCTCCCCTCCCGCAGGGCTCCCCTGCCCGCACAGTCGCTGTGTGGGGACACAAAGACCCGCCCGCCCCGGCTCTGGGGACCGGGGCAGTGACAGCAGCGAGGCGGCTTCTCCGCCAGCAGCTCCTGCTGGGCTTTACACCCTGGGCGGGTAACGGGATCGGCCTTTGCCACAGGATTTATGTTAAAAAGCCGTGTTTCTTCTCCTGCCCTTTACGAGTTATTAGTTCTGTCTGTCTTAAGATGTGCTTACAGCTGAAAAGGAGTGACTCCTTACAACTTACCTCCCTGTCAGGGACTGCAGTGCAGGTTCTGCTGACAGTCTTTGCTAGTTCTCCTTCTTTCCAGGTAGTGCAGGAAGTCTTAATTCTTGATGAATGAAGTTAATCTCCTCAGAGACTGGGTACTGGGGGCTCTGAGAGGACACGGCTTCATTTTTCACTTAGAGGGGTGTCCTGCTGCTCGCTGAAGTAACATCGTCTTAGTAACGAACACTCTATGTAACTTCTTTAATGAGACAACTGCAGTGTAAAAACCATTAGCTTTAGATTTAATAATGGGGTTGCACTGTGCCCGTTGGGCTTTAATCTGTATCCCCTGTGACCTTCTGGTGCTGTTCCATTAATTTCAGAGGAGCTATTACTGATGCCTTCTTACATCGATGGGAAGAGTCTGCATTTTTCCAGTGGGATAAATGTGCCTGTTTTGTCTTAGCATCCTTCTTAAAAGTCCTCTTCACATCTTTAGCACAATGCTAGGGAAGAAATGTAACTGGGTGAAAGAAGAATGTCCTGCAGTGACCACTGTCTTTTAAAGGAAAATGAGCTGCTTTCTTATTTCAATATTTTTTTGCTTTAGGCCCTTTCAGAACAGCAGAGTTTGTTTCACTTCTGATTTTAGCCAGAGGGAGCTTTCACAGGTATTGGCTGTTAAGGCAGTCAGTGGCCTCTGCATAAATGAGTGTTCCTGATGGATCATGTGGGGACAGACTGGACCAAACATACCTCCTGAGGAAGTTGATCTGACCAGCTCTGCCAGTTGGAGTCAGTGATACAGTCGGTCTTTCCTTTTTTTTTCTTTTTTATTCCTAAAGAAAAAAGAAGGGGAAAAAAAGGCAAAAAATTAAAACCTAACCTTAAGTTGTCTTTCCTTCCCCTGCAAAAGTCCAGCTTTAACACAGGGCTCATCATAGTAGGCTTGTAAGCATTTGTTATTTTCACTAGCAAGAAAATGTCACCCTTCCCCCATACTGGTGAGCTTGCATTGCCTCTTGTTCAGTTAAAAAGAACTTTTATTAAGTAATACAATGCAGTAGTGGAAAAACATGCTAGGGATGGCTTGGGCAGTAGGCTGCTCTTTTCCTTGCCTTACCCACAGACCCCAGAAAGTGCATCCCTCAGGCTCTGAAGACACTGGCACCCCGACATGTTCACGCTCCTTTCTATTACAGTGTCAGTGCCTAGACTGTACTTAAAATATGCTCCCAGTGGAGAGAAGTAATTTGATCCCAATTCAATGGGAAGTACCACATGGAAAAGAAATTACAGTTCTAGATTCTCTTTTTAAAGCAAGGGTATTATGTATTGCATCAGTGATGGTATATGCCCCTGATCCAAATGTGTTAATTAAATGAGAAAATTAATTTTTGTTCACATCATCTGATGTTATCAGAGTTTAGCTAAAATACAGTGAAGGTCGTAGTGATCAACTATTGATCAACTTCTGATGTCAAGCAAGACATCTCCATTTTTCTGCTATCTCTGCAAGGATTTGGGCTACCAAATCTCATAAAGAAAACCTCTTTCTATCAGCTGTTTTAAAGGGAACCACTGTTAGGATGCATGCAGTGAAGGAAGCTCTGCTAACTCATAGCAAAACCTCCTGTTACAAATGGTGCAGGTGGACTATGAAGGGAGTTCCATTTCCATTCATCCATTTTCTAGGATTTTTTAGAAGCAGGGATAACGGCAGTATATATATTCTTTCTGTATTACCAGGTTAGGGTGCTGTTAAGGTGAAGCCCATCTTGTCTTGCAGTTCAGAGTCAGTAAAAGTGCATTCCCTCCCACCACGTCCCCTTGGAAAATTTATAATCGGTTATTACAAAATTTGTCTGCTCTGTAGTGGTTTTTACCACCATTTTACCACTCGTATGATAGAGCTGGAGTACTGTATGTAGATAGCACAATCAAATCAGAAGAGAGCCTTTTTTTTTTCACTGCAAGGAGTAAACAGAAGAGAGGTGAAGTAAACATGGATTTTGAGCCAGTATTCTACTCATCTTACTGTATTCTATTCAGCAGAAAAGAACAGCATCTTTTCTATTCAGTGAAATGCATCGTAGCTCTTCACTTCACTGGCAGTTAGAAGGTGTGTGCCAGCACAGGCTGTGTGCTCTAGCTCAGGTTGTTGTGCAATAGAGAGCTGTTGGAGAACATTATCTTTTATTTACCTTTGTATAGGAATTTTATTGGTGCGTATTTGGAATTAAATGTTTTTATTACTTATTCATGGAACATGCGAGTGCTTCTCAGTCCCTGGCAGTGGAGGATTCTCCAAGTTTATTGCTGTTTCTGGTCACATTAGGCTTATGTACCAAAGTGGGCTGGTGGTTATGCCCTACCCTGTGTTCTCAGTGCCCAGGGATATGTTTATATTTTTGTTTTTACAGTAGCAGAATTGAACGTCTTACAAGACAGCGATGGCTTTTTCTCTAGAATTTGAATATGGAGGCCACAGGGACAGATGAAGTAGAAAAGATAAAATCAAAGTTTATGTCTGCTTGGCACAACATGAAATACAGTAAGTGAAATTGCATTGGTGAAATCCTGTCTCCATTGAAATGAGTGGAATGTTTCATGTTGACATGAGTGGGATCACAATTCAGAAGCATAACTAATATCAATAATAAATGCAATATGGCCCTTGAAACCATTTTTAGTTTGCTACAGTAAACAGCCTGATTAAACCAACTTGTTTAGCTTTTCATTTTTCAAATACATTTGCATAATTTCCTTTAAAATTACTGATTTGGAAAACAGTACCTACATTGTGTAAATGGCACAGATTTTTAAACAGGGATAACATGGAATCTTCTGTGCAAAGATTTTTCATTCTTACATGTACTTTTCTGGAAAAAAAAAGGATTATGTATGAAACACAAACCCCACTGAAGAATCTACTTCACACACTTGAGTAACATACTTTTCCACAGTTGAACATCAGTAATTTGTCTATAAGCAACCAAATTTTCAAGTTGCCCTTTATTAATCTCTCCTCAACTTTAATTTTTGTTCCTTTCCTCTAGGACTGAGGTTGCTCAGATTGACCACCAGGCTTCTGATAAAATTTGTTAAATCTCATAACTGAGCCTTGGAGGTGTCTGGCAAGATGAAAATATACTTTTCTTCTACGTTTTTTAAGGCTACCACATGGCTGAAGGGGAATGGTAGTTGTTACACCCTGTATGTGGGAGGAAATTTCAAGAAACTGTATGGACTTAGGATAGAAACGACCACAGGATTTAGATTTCTGTGGAAAAGCTGCTGTCTGAGGACATGGTCAACACCTCAAAACTGAATTCTGGCCCTTTGAATTTGTACAGCATATCATACTACCTTTTTTGTGTCTGAAATCTGCACTTGAATTTTGTGATGAGGTGTGCTTGATTCATCCTACAGGAAAAGCAGTACTCTGTGCAGTTTCATTGGTCAGATGTATGTTCCTGTAGGAGTTGGAAAGCTCACAGAATCAAACTTAAGCACTAATGAATTCATAATAGACACAAAGGAATTTAAGCAGTTTTTCTGTATCCTAACAATTTCTGCACAGTAGGACTATTGTATAAACTTTCATAGCTGGGCAACATTGTTACTTTTAAACCAGAACTCTGTGTTCTGTAGAACTATTAAACTTTGTTACTTATGAGAGCAAAACCCAGTATCAGTACATGTTCTTTATATTCCCATTTGATGGGTTACCCTTGGCTTAACCAGATGCTGTTAGAGATGCCTTTATGGAATATTTCAGTCACAAATTTGTCATTTTTTTGCATCTATTTTAGGTTGGGTGTTGAAAACAAAAACTTACTTCAGTAGAAACTCTCCAGTCTTTCTGTTGGGAAAATGTTACCACTTCAAAACTGATGGTATGTATATAGGACTTAACTCATTCCAGTCTTCTTTGGCAGGAGCTCTGAGGACATAATTTTAATCTCCTAGAAAGACCCTCATTGACATTTAGCAAATTAAAAATGTAAAAATTGAAAAGCTAAGAAAATACTTCTTTAAATGCCCAGCACCTCCAGTAATGTAACCCATCCCAACCTGCTTTGTTAAGATTTGACACTGAAGTCTTATTCTTTCTGTACCTGTTAGTGCTGTGTACTTAATTTCCCTGTCAATTTGAGATGTTCCTTTTAAAAAACTCCTGGATGAAATAGTGCCAGCTCCTGGACTGACAGTCACTACACCCACACCCTCATTATCATTTTCCTGTATGCAGTCTTCTAAGAATCTCTATTTGACCATTTACACTTAGGTGAATTAGGCAATTACTTACTTTCAAGTCAGTGATTCCACTGGCACAGGATTGTTGGCTGCACTGCTCTGTATTTTTTTCCAGCTGGCACATTTCTGTTGTGTTTGCTTTCCAGTTTTCCTGTCTTGTGGTTGAAATGCTTGTTACTTTTTGCAGGTTTGCCCCTTCTTTCTCATAGGATAGTTGGATGTTCTTACTTTCCTTCTGACAACACCAAGTTACAACTTCAGTTTGTGCTTTGCCTTACAGAATCTGGTGAACTCTGTACAGATGGGTCCAATTTTGATCAAATCAACATGGAGATTTCAGGAAATGTTGAGGAGTTTCGTAAGGATTTTATTTCTAGAATATGGCTGACATACAGAGAGGAATTTCCTCAGATTAAGGGGTCTGCATTAACAACAGACTGTGGTTGGGGCTGCACCCTGAGAACAGGTCAGATGCTGTTGGCTCAAGGTCTTACACTTCATTTTCTTGGTCGAGGTAAGTTATGAGAGAGGATCTCCGTGTTTGGCACAAGAAGAATGGCTGCTCTGTAGGGAGAGGGGTGGTCTTTATGGAACACAAAGCTAAAGTGTTGGTGGTTCTGCACTTTTCACTGATTTTGGAATTGTTACATTGCATCAGAGCAGTGATCTAGCTGTCCTACTCTAGCACCTCTGAAAAAGGGCATACCAAGGGGTGTCCAAGGAAACTTCACAGAAGCTAAATGTGAAGTAACATACCAAAAGAACTGTGATCCCATACCTGGGTATTGTTGCTATCCATGCAACATCCAGTTCTCTTCAGTCTTGCTCATTTCTTAGACTGAAGGTATGGAACTGAATTACACAGCCCATAGCTGAGGGCTATGGAAAAAGTAATGTTCTTTTATCAGTTTCAAAGCTGTACCTTATTGGGTTATTCTAGTATTAATATATTGAGTTAATAGAAGGATTCTAATCTAACTTCAGTACATAATTTTTGTGTTGAAATTTCCACTATTGAATTTCCTCCATTCCTCCCCATGAACTTACAGAGGAATTTCCCTTTTTTCCTTACCTGTCTCAAAATACTCTCTGAGTCACTTTCAAAGAAGTAGCTTTAGGAGCCTTGGGACACTTTCCACATTCAAAGTCTAAGTGTACATGTCCTCCTCGTTCTTCCAAACTGAGCCATGTCCTGTGTATAGTTATGTTTGGTTCTCACCACCTCTTCTTTTCATCCTTTTCTCATTGCTCTTTTCAAACAATTGGCCCTGTCCTCTCTCACCACTGCTTGCTGTCAGAATGGTCTAAGACATGGGCCTGTAGCCACACAGGCATGTTAGCTAGAGAGAATACAGTGTGTTGTTTACTCACAAGACAGCTAGAGAGAATACAGTGTGTTGTTTACTCAGCCATTTGTTGCCCCCCAGGAATACTTCAGTAGAAGACAGTTCTGAAGGCCTGTTTTGATAATACTTGCTGTGCAAATATGATGTAAGCTGTGAACACAGGCCCAAACAAGCTGCATCACAAAGTCTTCTTTCTTGGCAGTGTGATGACCAAACTGTCAGATTGGCTTCCTGAATGTTCCTTTTGCTGTAGATACTTAAGTCATAAAACATTCATTATCCTTTTCAAGCTGACTGCAGATATCAAAATGTATGAAAATACTTCTGCTGAGATCACAAATCCCTTGCATATAACTTTTGTTTTACATACATTTAAAGAAATAAAAGATATCAGATCAGAAGACTATCTACGAATTCTGAAGTAACCCCAAACAAAAAAGCCCCAAGTTTATATCTTTAAAATCCATGGTTCCATACAATTCCTTGCACTGTCCCCCATGTATCCTAAATTGGAAAGTGATTTGGTGATTCCAGAGTGCTCATGTTTCTGTGGCAATCCAAATGTGTAGAAAAATGGGATATGTGTGGTCTTCCTGGGCTACTTTTCTCATCACTTAGTCTTCTGACAGCTGGTGAATTATCTTTTGAAAAGCTTTTTATGAGGCCTGGGTCGCTTTTGAAACATATTTAAGTGCTTACATGAAGTTTTTCATCGCTGTTTACTCTTTTCCCAGAGATGTTTTCATTATACTTTAATGGTGTTGTTTCTGTTAGGAAGCAAAACTTGAATAGAGTTACTAGCTGGAATACTTACACTTCCACTGCTATGTGGAATGTTCCAGATATTGCTGAATGATGTAAATGAGTTTTTATTTTAAATATTAAGGTACTGGTAAGTTTTACTTTGAAATGGCTTTCCTTAAGACACCAGCTTAAATTGGAAGCTCACTGCACAGGAACAGCAAGGCCTGTGATGTTGTTACATTGAGCTCACTCCTGCATCTGCCTGGGTCTGCAGTGGAAAATTAACACAAGGTTCACTGAGGGGTCCTGCTTGTGGCAAGAGATATTGATGTGGGGTGGTTGTCACATTATAGTAAGAGCTGGTGACATGGATTCTGGCCATTAACCAGCAATACTTGTGACATTACTGGAGCCCTAGGTTAGATTTTAGAATTAAAATATATTGCCTCTGTGCTTCCTCTTTGTTTCTCAAATACTTCCACGTGGATACTTCAGTGAGAATTATGAGGAGGACTGTGGTTCTTTCTCTCTGTCAGTATTAGTTTGAAAAGGTTCCTCAGCTGCTGTGGTGGCAGCTTTCTGAACCCCCAGGAGTTCACCCAGATCTGGCTCACGGAGCAAAAGCAGCCCAGCCACAGGTTTTGTAGGGTTTGTTCCTTGCTTGAACCTGCCAGCCCTCCCCATTGCCTTCTAGAGCCTTCATTGTAAGACCTTCAGGATATGTCCTGATCTCAGAGTACATTCACTGTGTTCCAGAGGGCTCCTGTTCCTCACATGCTTTGGGTTGTAAGTAGCAGTTTTAACTAGTGGGAGAGCCCTGCAGTCACCTGGAGAGGGAAGTGTGACTGTTCTCTAGATGTGCTGAGCCACCATTATGCTATAAACAGGAATACCAGGATGCACTGGTAGGGAGACCTCCTGCTAGAAATGCAGACTGCAGGTACTGTGCTGAACAGTGTTTATACAGGTTTGTCTTGTAATCTAGATAAGGAATTCACAAATTTAGTACATAAATAATCTTTCCTGTTTTTCTGCTGCTCTGTGTTGACATTCTGGCAGGAAGAAGTCTTTGTTTTTACAGGAATAATTCCTCAGGCTTGTCTGTTTGGTTTTCTTTAATAACGTGACAAGCCAGAAGAATTAAAAACAACTTTTGAAACTTCTTGTCTTATGTGGAAAAAGTTATTTAGGTGGTACTTAGTAGATAATTTTCGTATTTTTACATACTTGTGTCTTTTATATCTTAACTTACTGAAATCTGACCCACTACCTCAGGTAGCATAAATTGCTAACAAATGCAAGCAGTATTTCATTTATTTATTTATTTCATTTATTTATTTTTTTATTTTATTTACTGCTAGCAGTATTTCATTTCACCCATCATTCATCAGAAGAGCAAATCACATTCCACAGGAATTCTTTGTTTGCATTTTAACACTGACATTTGCATCTCAGTATGTAAAGTACATATTACAGGTTTGGGGAGCACGGGGTTGAAAGGGATACCACCAAGTGACTGTTAAGCCTGATGATATGCATCCTAAAATACCTTGTCTGCAGCCTGGGTCTGGCCAGATGCACTGGACATTGACAGTTCAGAGTCTGAATCCTGGACAGCCCATACAGTGAAAAAGCTGACAGCGTCATTCGAGGCATCGCTGACGGCAGAGAGAGAACCCAAGATCCTGCCCAATCATCATCGGGGATCAGTGAAGAGAAACTGGGATGACAATGAAATGAGAAATGAGTTTTATCATAGGAAAATAATTTCTTGGTTTGGCGACTCTCCACGGGCAGCTTTTGGGTTACATCAGCTCATAGAATATGGAAAGAAGTCTGGAAAAATGGCGGGAGATTGGTACGGGCCTGCAGTGGTTGCACATATTTTAAGGTAAAAAGACCTTTATTCTTTGTTGTTACTGTGCCTTACACATTACAGGAGAAGCATTTCAAAGTGTCATGAGATTACTTCAGCTTAATTGAGCATCTAACTGTTCATTATTGGCTTTGTAAAATGTCCATATTAGTAGCAATTCCAGAGATTTTGCAGAGGCAGGAAGGGTAATAGCAGTAGGGACAGGGACTGAACTCTAAGCCTTTGTTCAAGCTTATTTTAGGAAAAAAACCCAACATTTCTGTTTTCCTGTATTGTGGGCAGCCAAAGTCCCAGGTATCTCCCAAACCTGGGCTTTTAATAGTGCTGTGTTTAATGAAATGTTCTAAAAACTAACCACTCTTTCAACCTTGGAACATGCATAACATTATAGATTATTTTTTTTTACTGTAACCTGGGGGCTGTAATGTACTGATAGTGTAATGAAATGTCAGAGCTAAAATTGATGTTTTCAGCATTTCTTTGCACACATCAAATTCTTGTGAAACTGTAAATGTATGGGACTATTAATATTATAATTATATCACAGTAAAAGTAAAGGGTCTGTGACATTCAGTGTGGTTAAAAAAAAAGTGGAAAGTCACATTTCTCCATACTTTGTGCCTTTATATTCCATTTCTTGGAATGTTGCTGATTTTTTGTTTGTTTGTTTGGTTTTTATAGCCTGATATGCTTATGTTTTTAGTGTATTCCAGTTTACCTATAAACTGAATCATTAATAATTCATTTAAGCAGCGGAAGCCAAAGTTTCTTAATTTCAGCTGTGTATACGTGAATAGAATCAGTTAGTATTTAGCATAAAAGGATGTTAATCTGAAGTGAACCTGTACTGAAGTAATCAGGTGGATATGTGTGCACACATGTAAATGCACGCAGTGATGGGAGGGGTTAGCACTATTTATGTGCTGTCTTCTATCTTTTTTTCTGATGATAGAAACTGCCAGAATTCTTTTTGCTTGCCTGAAGTGGCAGTAGCCTGTTTTCCTAAAGGGAATGGGGGAGGAATTTGGTCCAGACTTTCATCCAACACAAGAAACCCACAGTGGTTTCCAGCACTGCAAAGGTTGCCAGGTTTCCTTTCCTAGTTCTCCTTTCTCTCTCGCAGCAGCACTAACCATGTGGAGCTCTCTCATAACTGCAGAATGACTGTATTAAATGATTCCTCAAAATATATTGTGAAATAAAGGGATAGTGACCATTTAATACAAGCATGTATTGAAGTCAAAGCCTAACCTTCTGTTTTGAACAGTTTAATTTCTTTACAAATGTTGTCTTTGATTGATGATGATGCTTCAGACTATTGACATATATTTTCTTTTTAGTTTTTAGGTCCATTACTCTTACTCTTTTGAGAGTAGTCTAGTAGTGCAGTAATACTGTTTAAAGTTTTGGTGAAACCTTGCTGTTTTTTCATGTGCTAGCCTTTATTTTCATAGACACGAGGTGCTAATCTGTGGCTTGTTCTCTGAACTGAGGTCAACTGAAGAGATCTATTCAGTTGAAAATAATGTTTTTGTCAGCAGATTTATTATCCCAATAGACATGACAAAGATAATTATAAATTGAGAGAAATGAGGTAGTGAATGTGCATTTCATTGTAAGTTAATGTGTTTCTTAGGGTGCGTTTTTTTGTTGCACTATACCCTGGATGTTGGTATCCAGTGTTTCCAAACAAACCCCACCTCCTCCCCATCACTATTTGTCAGAAATTAAAGATGTCTTGAATTTAAACAAAACAAAACCCAAAACAAATAATTAAACCAAAGCTGTTTGTAAAAACCAAATAATTTCTGTATATTTACTGTTAATTTCTTTAAAATCAGAGATGAGTTAAACAGTTTTGTGTTTGTACTTAGAAAAGCTGTTGAAGAAGCAAGAGACCCTGAGCTACAAGGAGTAACAGTCTATGTTGCTCAGGATTGTACAGGTAAATGTTGTGATTATGTAGATTTCTTGCAAATGTTTTTATAGATGCTTTTAATGCCTTTCTATAAGCATTTAGCAGTAGAGGTCTAAAGAAAAAAAGAAACTCAAGAATGGATCCACAAAATTGTGATATGTAAACAAAGGGGTTCTTGGTATCTGCAGATGTTTGTTCTCTTTGAGAAGCAGACATCACAACTTGAAAGCTTCTTACATTGCTTGTTTGGTATCTTAGAGTGGAAGAGAGTGGAATTCCAAATCCAGCAAGATAACTTTCCTTACAATCTGCCTGTTGCAACTTTTTTATTTGGGTTTATATCAGTTAGCAGTCTGTTCTTGACTTTCTTCAATGCTGTTTTAGCTATAACATAGTAAGAACTTCCATATCTTAATAAAAATAACCCCAAAAATTCAACCAGACAACTGGCAAATACTTCGATTAGATTAGTTAGTTGCATTTATCTTTTGCTTCACAGGATTTCCTTTTACCCATTTTTCTAGTGGAAAAACATGACTGCACCAGTCTCGAGAACAGTAAAGAGTGATTTTTGCTGCAGTTGAAAGAAGGGAGCACGACTGTGAACTAGTCAGTGATGAGCTTTCTCCTGCTCCAACCTGGCCTTTTGGGCAATCAATAACATGCAGAGGAGCTTAGGGCTCTGGATGTTCAGGGGCCAAAAGTGATGACAAGATAAACCAAACATGTGGTGACACTGTACACAAATGTAAAGACTATAGTCTTTCAAATCTAAGCACAGTGTGTTTCTTCAGTAGCTGTGTTTAGCTGCCAGAAATTTTATTTATTGCATTAACTGTTCCTGGGATAGGAAAGACAAGACCCACATCCCTGGATAATCAATCAAACTGCTTTTAAAAAGACACTGTTTAACCATACCTTACAATCCAGTTTCACCTGACTTACAAAGACAGTGGAACCTTAACATTCTATTCATTTTTCACTTCTTTGTTCTGGGGATGATTTTCACATCTCTCCTACTTTGGAGAGAATAAGCAACAATACTACATTCAGTTTTCCACTCCTTTTCAGTCACTGCATTGTGTTATCTTTAGACAGTGAACTTGATTATTTATTAAAAGCAATTATTGTTGTTTTTCCTTTAACATGTAGATGTTTCTGTTTGTTGTGGGCTTTCAAGTTTTAAATTGCTCCTTTTAGAAGATGTTTCTATGAAGTGAATAAATATTTATTTGGCTTCTCCTAACCTAACCCCTTGCATTTCCTTGGCAATGTGTCTTATCTAAGCAGCAGCAGATTAGCATTCTCCAAAATGCTACTGAAAATAGGGAGGCATAACTCTGTTTTTCATCAGAGTTGTTTTCACTGGGAGTTATATTTCAGGAGGACAGTCATATTTTGAAGAACTGCAGCTTTAGTTTGTCAAACTAAGTGATGACACGTAGGTGTGTTTTTGTAAAAACTAGCTGATATATTTTAAATATTAATATTTCTGTGTGTCTCCTTCCAGTCTACAGTTCAGATGTTATTGACAGACAGTGTTCTTCTGTGGGTTCTGGAAAAGCAGACACAAAAGCTGTAATTATATTAGTTCCAGTGAGACTTGGTGGAGAGAGAACAAACATGGACTACTTAGAATTTGTAAAGGTATGAAATGAGTTCAATCGTTTTTCAAATAGTAGCACTAGGTGATATGAAAAGCAACTTCATGATGGTAATCTTCTTCCTGTTAAATGTGTGGTGGTGATTTTACAGTGGAAGGTTGTAAAGTTTGACTTTACAGATTTTAAATTCCCCTATTACAAGATCAGACATAATTGCAGAGCACATGATGTCCCTTGGTAAAGCAGTGATAACTGTCCTACTCCTGAAGTAGCTACCTGCAAAGACATTAATGCAGTGGCCCCAATTATAAATGGTAGTTTAGTTACATATGCCATTGGAGTTAGGCTATATTAAGGATCAGTCAGCATTTAAAAATATAAATACACCAAATTCCTTATTCTGTTTCTTAATTCCTTAAATGTCAAATGGGTTCAGGTTGTTCCATGTATCTTCTTCCCATTTTCTTTTGTCTTTTTCTTCCCCTTAAGACAGAGGATAAACACTACTTCAAGTGTTTCTTCACAGTCTGGACATTAGGATGAATGTTTCTAAGGACAGTGATGCAGAGGTGGCAAGCAGTTACCACAGATATAAAGGAACTGGAATGAAGTAGAACTCAAGGAGAAAGCAGAAGGGAGAAAAGTCTATGCTGTCCTCTGTTTTTTCAGCAGAGGTTCTGCATATGTTTCTAACCCCTCAGGATGTTCTGTACCTCTTGAGCATAGAAATACTTCTGTTAGTGAGGAGATTGTTCTCATAGCTCTGCTGCTTTATCATTATCCATGCAGCTCTTTATCTGTCTTTAAATTCTTGTTTTTGTTTTTAAAATACCACAGTGTAGTACCATGAATAAAACCTGAGAGTCTCTTACACCTTTTTTTAGGGGGGAGACAGGGGAAGAGACTGTCTGTCTATGTAGAATTTTAGGAAAACACTTGGCTTTGAATGGCCTGGGAAGACAGAGTGATGAAGCCTTTTATTTAAGTGATGAACACTTAAATTGTTGTGTTTTTTTTTCTTTCCTGATTCTTTTCCTTGTATTTTCAGACAGTTGGCTTTGGAAAAGTTTCCGTTCTTTTCTGATTCATTCTGACACAGCAAAGATCAGCCTGTGGTTGCAGACGTGATCTACAGCAACCTTTCCTTTCAGTGTTCACTGCAGAAAAGCCTTTGAATCAGTCAGGGCCAGGAAAACACACGCTGCCTTCCTTTGTGAGCTCACAAACAGCTGCTTCTGCAACTTTCATAAGGCTTTCTCAGCGAAAGAAGTGACTTCAGCTCTTTAATGCTGTCTTTTCTTATTGACAGATACCTATGGCTACTTTTACCCTGCAGAGTCTTTCTCATTTAGCTCTCAAAAACACTCCTTTGCCAGAGTAAAGCATGTCTGGGTGGCAGAGTTTCACTGCACAGTCATGGCATCTGAGCTTGCCTTGTACAGCAGCTTTACTGAGGTGATTTCTGCTACTCATTTACCAGGGCTGGTCCTGACCTTTGCAGTCTGGGGTAATGGCAACTGTGATAAGAGGCCTTTCAATTGCATAGATTAGTCACTCCAATCTCTGTCTTGACTGCTCACAAGAAGTGACTACATTTCTTGGCATCTGGGTTTAAGTTAAAAATGCAGATTTTGAAAGCAGTACTAGAGGTAATTTTTACAAAGGATTTTATATTTATGGATGAAAATTTATAAATTTTTTATAATTCACTTTTACAGGAAAATTCCCATAGATTAAACTGTTATTCATTACTCTAAGTAGCTTTGCTCCCTTTCTTTCACCCGCAGAGGATGTGTCCTCCTTTGCTGTTCCAGCCTTTGCCTCTGATCTGCTTCCATGTTCTGGAATGCTCAGCCATGGAGCAGCATTTTCTAAAAAAGCTTTCTCATTCATATTTTAAATCAGCAACATATTCTCTTAAGCTGCAGAAAACCATGCTGGAGCTGACTTTGGTAGCATGTCAGGTGAGGAGTACAGCAGGTTTTGGTGTGTTACACTGCTTTATTATTGTCTAAGCAGAGAAAAAAATATCTCACTGAGAAGCTTTGGTCTCACTAGTACATGAAATATCAAATATTTTGTGGAGAGAAATTTTCCCTACTTCTGCAGTGGTAATATAATGGTTATACTTTTAATGGTTGATCTCTTAGATGAGAGGATATAGATATGACTGCCAGCTCAGGGAGATTGCACTTTAGCTCAATAGATAGTCTTCTGGATTCCTGCCCCAGTTTGGGCAAGTGTCCAAATTCTTGGACCAAACACTTCCCTAGTGCCACAGGAAAACCACAGTGATTTATAAACATTTAAAGGTTGTTCAGTTTTCCAAGTATTTAATGATCTTGGGCTTCAGTTGCATTAGAACAGTTGGGCTCAGCTTTCCAAAGTGCTCAGTGCTGGCAAAATTCAGCTCCCACTGGAGTTGGTGGGATAACTAATGGAGAACTGTGCTAAGCCAAGACTGAATGCTCACAAATATCTTAACGAGCCCTGCTAAGAAACAGAACCTCAGGAAGAGCAGAAATATGTTGAAGGGAGAGAAGGAGGAAACTCCTCCTTGCCTTCCTCCCTCCCTTTGCTCTGTACTTCTTTTAATAGAGAAATTAACAAGTTTGATTTCTTTGGTGTCCACGGCCCATGCCTGTGTCCAGAGCTTGTGGGTGATAGAGGAATTTCAGTCAATTATACTCCTGAAATGTTCTTACCTTGGCCAAACTGCATCTGTAGAGGTAAATCCTTCTCCCCAGCACTAGAAGGTGTATCCATAAATGAACATTTCATGATGTAGTGTTAAGTCCTCTAGGTTTGTGTGCCAAGACAGACACTGGGATTATAGAACCCAACTCTTTGCAGCCTGAATGAACAGCAGTACACTGCAGCACTGGTGTGACTGTGGCCCATAGCTCATGTCCGAGCTCCTTCTGTCCTTGGTGGCCGCAAGAGTGTATTTCTTCCTTTACACCTCCAGACTGGAGAAATCCCCGTACTTCACCCACATCCCTCTATAAATCCTCTTAGGTCTGTTTGCAATGTCTCCTCAACATTGCTATATGCTGATGGTTGATTCCTCTACCCTGACAGTCAAAATCCAGTAAGATTTATGGGACCTGTCTGTTGTGTGTCTCTCTCCTCCCATATTTTGGGCTGCTGTTTTTAGAGCTGTACCTGGTAAATACTCTTGCTTCAACTGGCATTTCTCCCTACGATGTACAACTTCATACCCTAGACAAACTTCTACCTTTGAAAGCAAAGAGTAGCCCCCAGGGCTCATACATCTATGTAAATGTATGTGCACTCTGGAATTCTGAACACTTTTATATCTTCTGACTATGCAACCTGTGCTCAACTTGTCTGACAAAGCATTTTGTCTCCTCCCCCAAAATAATCCTGCAATGTATGGGCATGTCATGAAAAGGGAACATCTGGTGGTATGTTTTCACTTTGGTCACTTGTAAGCTTCTAAAAACTGAGTCAATCCCCAGAAAATAATTAAATCACTCTTCTTAAAAACAACAAAAAAAAGTATTTTGCCTAAAACCAGTAAAGAGCAAAGATTTAGTTCAGTTTAATACTTATTTTGTTTAACACTGTCCTAATTATTGAATGTTCTGCTCATAGGGAATTTTAAGCCTGGAATATTGTGTTGGTATTATTGGTGGCAGACCCAAGCAGTCATATTATTTCACTGGATTTCAAGGTTAGTGTTTTAATATGTTATGTCTCTTCAATATTTTTTGTTAAGAGTTAGGAAGTTAATATCAAACCAGTGGGAAATAGCATGATTAAAATAGCAAAATGAGTACCTTATTAATTCATCATATCTACCCAATCCAGTCATTTGTCATTTACCCCATGGAGTAATTGGATTCTGTAAAATGTACATTTAATTTTCCTCGTTGCATAAACAAGGCATAATTTATCTGTTTCACCAAACTTCAGCAGCCTTTGCTGTTACTACCTGGCAGTTCTTATTTACGTATTTACTTTTTACTAGTTTAAGTGGTGTTAGTTGATGCTGCAATGACAAGCAATATATCCTTCCTGTCATGATTAAGTAGCACAATACATTTTTCATATGCAAACTCCAGAATATAATTGTGTGTTTGTAAAAGTAATTTTATCACCAAAAATTAAATGACAGTCTCATCACTTTATAAAAATTCTGCTTATACAAGCATATTTGATTATGCAAAAGTTAATCTGGCCTGCAAAAACCTATGCTTCAGTCAATGAATATCAGCCTGGCAAGCAGTTACTTGCTGGCTTTTTTTCTTCCACCTGTTCTGCATAGAAATTGGATTGTAAGCGGTGTAATAATAAGGTGTTTTTTGAATTACTTGTCTTCTGTTTTGTCCTTGTAGATGACAGTTTGATTTACATGGATCCTCATTACTGCCAATCTTTTGTAGATGTCAGCATAAAGGATTTCCCTCTTGAGGTAGTATGGATACAGACCTGGCACTGTTTTCTTCCCATATGAATCAAACACTAATTATTTAGAGATGTTCTAGCTAGCTGCATCTTCATGGTTTTACAGTTACATGTTATTTATCAAAGTTCTGCCCTTCTTTATAGGCCTATAATCAACAACAATGACCAGAGGTTAAAAACTCAATATGAGGTTTTCATTTTTACTTCATTAATCTTTGTCTGCTTCTTTATAATGATCAGACCACATAAAAAATAGATGATCACTTCATTTAAGTAATTACCATCAAAGAAAACAGAAAATATTTGGAGATCTTAAACCTGAGTTATTTGGATTTGGTTTTGTTTTGTTTATATTTTTGGTAAATTTTTATTTTATGTTAAATTTAAGTTGCAATCAACATCATGGAGAGAATTCCTACATCTTTATCCAATAATTAGTATTTCTCTACTGGAGTAGGTGGTTATAATTTTAAATGTAACTTCTGCTCCTTACAACTTTGCAGGTCACTTTTTTAGCTTCATAGAAGTGGAAATTTTTGAGGCTTCTCTGAGCTTTGTGGCTGACTAGATGAATTTTACTTAAGTATTCTGAACTGTTTATTTTAAGAAGTTTTATTTTTATTTTTAATCAAGCTGGTTTCATGGAATAGTTTCCAGGAGACTGACAGGTCTGCAATGGCCATTCTGCATTTGTTCCTCTACTTTCTTCCACCCCTTTCTAGACAATGTCTTTCTGGGTGTGTAAGGAGGTAGGGAATGCATCTTTTCAGGCCATGTCTAGGTCTTAAATATCAGATTTGGTTTTTTTACTATGGTGTTTTTCCCTTTTTTTTCTTTTAACCTCTTGCCAAATAACTTGCCTTTAAATTAGATAGAGCTAAAGGAGGTTATTGGAGAGCTTGGATTTACAAGTATCACGGGAAAACGTTATCAGGTGGAGAAGTAAGTGTTCAGTAGCCACAGTACTCACAGGAGAAGCAGTCAGTGCCATCTAAACTCCTCTGGATCTTGTGTCCAACTTCCAGTCCCCTCAGAGCAACCCTTCATTTGCTGCAGAAACAGTCTCTGGGTGCATCCACTGCCCATGAACTGCTCTAGAACAGAGTTGTTTATTAGTAGTGATTCCTCATGCCACGTTCTGCAGAGTTAACTACTCCTAAACCTAGAAACACAGCTTCAGAAAAAAACAGTGATGGTCCTTTGTGTTCTCATCAAAAGGAAGAGCTGTTAGTGTATGCTGAAATTGATTACAGTACCATCAACTAGTATTTAGAGAAAGTGCTTCTATCTTTCAAAGGACTTACACAGGGCTCTTGCTAAATCCTAGGGTCAACTTAAAGTGAACACTATGTATTTTTCCTTATTTATCCTTAACAAGATGCTTTAATTTGCATGATGTGTAATACAGAAGTAAAAGATTCTCCAGAAAATAAGAGGGTTATGAATTAAAAGAGAACATAGCACCAATATGTATCAGAAAATATCCTAGACAGAAACTTACATTATTTTTAGAGATGCCTTTGATTTACCCTGTTGAGATATTTGGAAGCAGAGTTGGTGAATCTCAGCTCTACTTATTTGTGTTGTGGCAGCTGCCAGGGACTACAACCAAGATCCTTGCAGCTTTATGCTAATAACTGTAGTAAAACACAGTGCCTTCTCTGAAGATTTTACAGTTTAATTGGGTTAGCCAGACAAAAGGTGGGAAGGGCACAGAGATGCAGAGCTGAAGTGTCTTCCTTAAGGTCACACTGTAGCTCAGTGGCCAAGCTACAAAAAATACACATATTTTTGGTTTCTTTACCATGACTAACCCTCCAGATTGTGCTGCAGGCTGGCATTAATATAAATTTCCAAATAATAACAATAAGGTTTTAAAATGTATTTTGAAAGTACTGCCAGCTTGGCTTGATCACATCCTAGTGCTCTTCTGCAGACAGAAAATATATTGCAATTTAATGCTTAGTGCATTTAATAGTATTGTATCTTTGTCCAGAAATGTCAAAAGTAAACAGAAATTGCTTTCTTAGTGTGGATACTCACTTGTTAGATTTATCTGTAGGGAGTATTTTCAAAATTGACAAATTGTCCAGAATAAGTTGGAAATCAATCCACTCTGTATTGGCTTCCAGAATCCATTTGTTTGCAGGAGTGGAAAAAAAGAAATGCATTCCTACTTCTCGTTGTTGTACAGTGATTTGTGGAGCATTAAGATGACTGCCCTGAACAGCACAGCTGTAGTTCCATGGGGGTTGCTGAGTTGTGGGATGGACGGAAGGGCTTCAGGGATGTCTTAGATCAGTCAGGAAGGAATATTCACAATGCAATTTCTGCATCTGAAATTTGAACAGAATTAGGAAAAAAAACCAGCAGTGACTGCCTTGTCTAAATATTGCTTCTTGTCTTTGCCTCTGTTTTTTAGAAGGGCTTTAATAGAAATGCCCCTAAGGTTTGTACTCACAAGTATCTCACTGTGACACTGACTGATCTCTCAGATGAGGTAACTGCACTGGTGTTGTCTGTAGACTGACTTTTCTGACTGGCAGAAAAAAGATCAAATGGGTTTCTAGTATAGAGCCTGCTCCATGCTCACTGTCAGGAGTGGCTGCTGGTACAGTCAAAGTAGATGGTAGCAGTTGTTAGTTTTACCCTCTGCAGAGGAAACACGCTGGTGTTGATCCCCCTCTTTCCTCTGTCCTGGGGTTAATAAGCTGTCCTGCTCCTGTGCTGAGCAGCTCTGTGCCAGGAGAGCTGAGGGCTCTGCACAGCTCCCGGGTAAATGGGAAAGGAAATAGCAGGGAATATTTACTGGGGAATGTGGATCACTGGGGGAAGTTCCTGAAGAATAACATCCGCGTGTTCGTGCGGCGGTATCTCCACTGCAGGGTGGTTGGTGCAGGCAGGGTGTGCTGGGATTGTTGCTGAGCTGCAGCAGGGATGCTTGTGCTTGAATAGAGGTGGGATGACAGGGAAGCCCTGCATTTAAAGGAGAATAAAGAGGCCACCTTTGAGACATGGTCAGTGGTGACAAAATAATTTCAGTTATTAGACAATGAGCTTCACCAAAACTACAGTTCCTGTAATGACCACACACATCTCCAGGGCAGACAGAATATACTGATCTTTTTTCTCATAAACTGTGAATGAGGAGTGTGGGGAAGGGCTTTTTGTACTTGTTTTTCTTATATTATGGCTGCTGATAGCATCAGTTCACAGCATTGTCAGAGCATCATTTGTCCTTAAAAGAGATTTCATGTTAGGAAAAAAACACATCTCTAAAGCAGGACGTGTCTGGGTTTTTTCCTACTTGTGGATTATTGTGATGTGATTGTTATTTGCGTCTCTGGGGTTTGTGGGTTTTTCAACCCATTTCTTTCACTAAAGGAAAAAGCATGGGGTGTGTTTATTGCATGATGTTTCTTTTATAGAGGCTGGGGGAGGGAAAGGGGCAATGGGCGGTGGCAGTAAAGCCGTAATTGTAAGATAGTGCAAAAGCTGTCACAGATTCTATTTGCAGAAGAGCATTCACCTCCTTCACCTTGGGAATATCCATAAAGTACTGCTGGGAGCAGCAGCCCTTTGGCAGATTCCAAACTAACGTGGTGTTGTGTGCAAGTTTGGGGAATGCAGCATCAACAGCAGCAGGTTTTATACATGTGGAGAAGAGCAGAATTACTTGAATGTTTGTGGGGTTTGGAAGAAACAACTTTAATCATGTGTGCTGGGTTTTAATACAAGTGATAGAGGGGACTGGATGTTAAAGCTGTTGGTGGAAAAAATTGTAAATGCACTGGTCTGTGCCATTCTCAACCTTAACCATGTATCTCATGTTTTTGAATCTTGAAACTTGTAGTCATTCCACTGTCCTTCTCCCAAAAAGATGTCATTCAAAAAAATGGACCCGAGCTGCACAATAGGATTTTACTGCAGCACCGTGCAGGACTTTGAGAAGGCTTCTGAAGAAATAACCAAGGTAGGTGTCCAAGCTACCAATGGGTTCCCTGGCCGGAATGTGTGTGTGCTGTGCGTGGAGCAGGGGAGAACTGTCTGGGCTCTTTCACACAGCATTCTTTGCTTGATATTTATTGCTACCTTTATAACCATGAGAGATCGAGATTGTTTCTCATTCCCTCCGTTTTTCCCAAGATGTAAGCGTGGGGTTGCGCTGGGAGAGGCGTCCCGGGGCCGGGCGGGCGGCGCTGGCCCACGAGGTGGCACTCGTGAAATGGGAATGTTCTGCAGCCGGGATCGCCCCTGCCGGGGAGGAGTTTGGAACAGGCAGCCCGTCCCTCGGGAGGGATTCGGTTTTAAATGGAAGTATTTGATCAAGCCAAAATTGTGTATTATTTCTTGTTAGCTTAAGTGCTTTTTCTGGTGGCGTTTGAGTGTAAAGCAGCGCGTTTCTGATCTGGTAGCAGTGAACTCTGCGGGGCTGGGATCACCCAGCACATAAGTCTGATCATGTCCTTCCACCTGAAAAACCCTACATGAACCCTGGTATAGGTTCATGTAGGTCCAAGTAGTAATTGACTTTTTTTTTTCCTTAATTATTACAGCATGTGAGGGTATGAAATAAAGCAGGGATAATATGCAGTGTTAGCTGTGGTTGGGAGTAACTGTGCCTTGGGATTTTAAGTAATAGACTCTGAGAGGATGCAGTGGCAGCAGAAGGTGGTCACAATATTAATATTCTAACCAAAGCAGTTATCACAGCAGCACAAACAATTACATTTGTACAGCATTTGGAATGCCCTGTTAAGTGGCATATTATAACAAAAAAATAAATAAATTTACAACTTAAGACTGTATATAATTTTTAGTAGACACTGATTGATGCTGAGGTTGTTTCTTTGATTCTCCCACAGAGAGGTAGAAAATAGATTTAAAGAAGCAGAAGTTCCTAAGCAATGGATACATGGAAAGTTTAAATAGTGAATTTTCTGTTCATCCATGTTTTCCTGTCATGTATGAGAAAGAACGGAATGACATGGTAAAAAAAATCTAATTACAAAATCAGTTGGACTGGAAGTTCCCCTTCTCTCTCTTCCTTCTTTCTTTTAAGTTTGGGGTTAAGTACTTTTCTGAACATACCTTGTGAAAATCCTCATGGCTGATCTAAGTCTTTGAATTATTATTTGGAATTTTACATTCTTTAGTTCTTTAATTTTATATCAATACATTTCAGGCACAGTATGTTTGAAAATGGAGGAAAGTTTAGATACAATGTGAGGAACAGTCTATCATCTTTCAATCCTTCCTTCACATCCTGTATTTTTTCCTGCTCATCCATTCTTTTTCCTTTTGTTTGCCATTTGAGTGTGATAACTCTTGAACTACAAGGCACAGTGTACACCCAGGGTGCCCTGTGTTGGCTAGACTAGTTCTGATTTTGTGGTCAATAAGAGGTGGGAGTAAAGATTTAGCTTTTATTACTTGAGGATAAACCTTATGAGCCATAGATTTAGAGAAAGAGAGGAGAGCATTGAAATCACGAGCCCGAATGGAGCGACTGGGAAACTCCATTCAAATCACATCCAAGTTGCCTTTTGTTTTTGTACTCACTTGTTAGGCAGCAATTGTTAACTACTTTAATAATACCTGTAATTAAATAGCTGATAGATTAAGGACACCTGAAAGCACATACAGACTTGAGAGTGATGGATTTTACCAACCATCTGTGGTCCTACTTCTGTCTTGCCCATCCAGCACAAACACTGAGCAGGCACAACAGCTTCTGTCTGGCTTCTCAACACCATGCAGCAGATCCAGGAGGTCAGCAAGAAGCTCTGGCCTTGCACAGCTCCTGGGACAGCTCTGCCTTTTCCTGGCCTTTTTACTTAACTGGTACCAGGCTTGTCTTTCTGCTAACGCAGTGAATTGTTTCCCTATCAAAACCATGACAGCAAATAAATAATCCACTTGGGCTACAGCTGCATTTGCCTGCTTGTAGCCCTGGTTCTTGGGAGAAATGAAAAATTCTCCTAAGAAGAACACCTGGAATGCAGGAAGAATTCTTGCAGTGGCAACAGTGGCAGTTGAACACTAAAATACTAAAAAATATTGATGTTTATCAGTAAACTTCTCTGGAAGTCATCACTGGTATCTTTTAGTTTCAAGTTACCTGTAATCACTGAGTGAGAGGTAGGATAATAATTGCAGTCATCTTAACCAAGTTTACTCTTGTTCAGGCATTTGCCTGCCTGTTCAGCTTATGTTCTGCATTTGTGTTTCATCACCCCTGTAATACCCAGAGAGAGGTATAACACGTACCTGTGGAGGTGGAAGTTTCAAGGAGAGCTGAACACAGCCAAGAGCAGTGGGACTGCAGGTGTGTTTCTCTCCTGCTGTGCAGGGACCACCTTTACAGGTGGGTTGGGTCAGTCCCCATGCATCCCCTCAGGTGCAGCAGCCAGATGAGTTTCCTGTTGCAAACTTGTCATCAGGAGCTGGACTGAGTCCACAGGGCAGCAAACAGCCTTCATGTG